GCATCTAATTTGTTGTGCATAGCTCATCCTAGAATCTTTTGGACACCATGTGTAGCACATTGTATAAACCTCATGCTTGAGGCTCTTGGCAGTTTAACCGAGATATCAAGTGCAGTGAAGAAGGCCAAGTATGTTACAATTTTCATTTATAGCCACCATATCACCCTCAGCATGATGCGTACCTTTACAAAAAAGAAAGAGAATGTGAGGCCTAGGGTCACGAGATTTACGACCTGGTACTTATGCCTAGATAGCATACATTCGAGGAAATTGCAGTTGAGGCAAACGTTTACCTCGGATGAGTGGAGAGCATGCAAGTGGTCTAAGGCCAAGGTTGGGAAGAAAGTGAGAGATATTACACTTTCTAAGGATTTTTGGCGAGGGGTGAAGGACGCTCTTAAGGTATTTTTTCCTCTTATCAAAGTCCTTTGCATGGATGATAGCGACAAACCTTCTATGGGCTATATATATGATGCTATGGAGAGATGCAAAAGAGAGATAGCCCAAAATTTCAATGATGAAGAAACCCGCTACAAGCTTGTTTGGGAGATTATTGATGATAAGTGGGATAAGAAGCTACATCAGCCATTGCATGCAGCTGGTTATTTTTTGAACCCAGCTTTGTTTTATATTGACAAGGATATACAAACAAATGACACAATTATGGATGTATTTAATAAGTGTGTAGAGGTGCTAGTCCCTGATCTTGAAATGCAGGACATTATATGCGCTGATGAGCTGATAAATTGCAAGTGCTCATTAAGTCCAATAGCGATGAGGCTAAGGACCAAAATTAATCCAGATATTAAATATTATTATATTAATAATATTCTTAAGTTCATCTTCATCAAGTTCAACTGTTCAAGTAATCAAGTATTTCTATTATTTATTTATGATTTTTTCTATTTCTTTACAGCCCATTGGTGGAGCCAACATGGGCGTAGTTCTCCAAATTTACAAAAGTTGGTCATTCGGATCTTAAACCTAACCACTTCTTCATTCGGTTTTGAGCGCAATTGGAGGACTTTTGAAAGGGTAAGGCCATTAGGGTAATTTGTATAATTTTATAAATAATACATGAACCATAGATATTAGATTTTCATTAGTTTACTTTCATTTTATTTTGTTAGGTTCATACAAAGAAAAGGAACAGGCTTGAATCAAAGAAGCTCAATGACCTTGTCTATGTCAAGTACAATCGATTCTTGAAGAACAGATTTGTTAAAAGAGATAATAGAGACCCCATCAGATCAAAAATATGGACAATGCTATGGAGTGATTAGTTGATGATGATGAGGTCGAGGGGCATGAAGGATTGACATGGGACATAATCATGGATGCTTCAAAGAGCTCAGCTGACCCTCCTAGGGCCACTAGAGCTTATGCACAAAGAACAAGGGTGGAGGAAGAGGAGGAAGAAGAGGCAGATTCACAAGAGACGGAGGAAGACGAGTCGCAATATGTCGAGGAAGGTGACAACTCCGTCGACTCCGATGAATATGATGCCAATGTAGCTGACCCAAGATTTTCTAATGATGAATGAATGTTGATTGTTGAATAATTATTAAACTTTGTTACTTTGAAGTTTGAACTTTGATTGAACATTTGAACTATCGAATTTTAAGTTCTAATTGGATATGGATTATAGAGTATGAACTGACTTATGGATTATGGTTATGCTTATGGAATGTGTGCTAAATGCTAATATGTAGTATAATTTGAATATAACAAATAGTCTGATACTCAAATAACTGCAGAATCCTTACTTGGATACAACTGGGCCACCCAGGTTCTGGGCGCCCGCCTAAGCGATGGGTGGCCTAGACCCCCCAATCCGCCTGGGACCCGCTTAGCGCTTTTTGAAACACTCTTGTAGAGCAATCTTGTAAAAAGATCAAAGAAAAATAATACCATGCAATGTATTCTTTTGACTTCAATTGATACATAAGGAAAAAACGTTATTATATGTGAACAGACAATATTTTGGGAACAGGGGCGTTTTGTTTTCCTTAACCATTTCATAGTGAAGAACAGCCCAGCTCAGTCCGCTCCTAGATTCACAGGTGACGGAAATTTGTAACCCCACGTATCAACAAAATGATGCTAAACTTTCCTCACCCCATAAAAAAAAGAAATGTTTTTCCCCTACTTATAAATGATGCAAGGACCTCGTTGGAATAGTTCAGCCATCTGAATAGGGCCTAATTGAACAAACTTCACCGTACATTCATATTTTTAAATAGACAAGAAGGTACAGTTTAGTAAAGCTGCTCGAATACATGTCATATCATAACCAGATTGCGCTTATAAACAACTGAAGAAAAATACGCATACATAATTCTAGGAACTGCAACAGTGAGTAGGAAATTAGACAAAGCATAGCATTTTATCTACCTTTAGAATTAATACATAAATATTTTCATGCTAACCAAGCAAAGTTCATAACTGAAAGAATAGAGCACAGTTTTTACACATGGGAATATCCATGAGAATAAAAAAGTACTTTATACTTTTAATTTCAAATTTTAGGCTAATGTGGGAGAGGGTGCATGGACTGAAAAAGAAATTCCAATAACTATAAGCTGTGAATAGTAATTACGTCAAGGGGAGAACCCATTGTTTCCAACTATTCAATAAGGCAAATAAAGATGGATATTTTTTTGACAATGGAGAAATATTGATAAATATTGACAAAAGGTTCGCATAAGAAGAGCGAGAAAGGCAGCCCACAAAAAGAAATGTTATAGTATAAACATAGTCTGAAAAATCCAAAAAATAATGATTCACGTGTGAAAGTATGCTTTGACAATGAAAGAATAAAGTTTGGGATAGAGCATGAGGGAGGGCACGAAAGACAGAAAGAAGAGATGAATATTATGAAGGGGAGAAGCAAGGGAGAGCAACTAACAAGCAGTGAAGAAATAGAGAGAAAAGGCTTCGGAGAGGGTCATCCCACAAGTCGGGAGCACAGAGTAAGACAAAAGGCAACCAACAAATCGAAGGTGAAATAGGGATGGTGGAAGCCCACAACCCGGGACTCAGATCAATATTGGGAAAGAGGGCCCAGGGCTTTACTGAAAGAAAACAAAAAGAAAGAGAGACTGCAAAACAGTAAGGAGAGTGAAAGAAGAAGGGAAGGCAGGAACATGAAAGTCTTAGTTGAGAGACATGGGGATAGTATGAAGATAGATGTTTAGAAGGAGAGGGGGCGAAGGAAAGAGAGGGTTGAGAGAGAGAGAGAGAGATGGGAAGAAAGGTTAGAAGGAGAAAAGTGGAGAGAGAAAAGAGAGGGAGGGGATGGGGTTGTGACAAAGAGATGGGAAGTATGGTTGGAAGGAAGGTAGAGATCTAAGATACTACGAAACTAACGCGAAAAACCAAATGTTGGGATATCATTGAAGGGCCCATGCTGGCAGCTCCCTCCTGGGCTAAACCATATGCATCCCTCTCATCAAATATGATGGAAGCCGACTTGAAGATGCCTGCAAAATGAAAAACACAGTCAAAGACGGGATCCAAGCGCCAGGGACACTGGTTACCATCATTGGCACAATGGATTATGTTGGCATTGTCTCTTTTTACCGTGAGAAAATCACCCCAACTAGAATCAAACCTAGACAGCCCTTCAAGTGGATTACTAGCTTCATCCCAGGAGGAGTCAAGTCTGCTTAGAAGGTCAGAGAAGAAGGAAATAAAGTGCAATTGCTATCTCAAAAAATGCCCCCAAGCCACATAGCAATCATCAAAGTTTAGTTTGATGGAGCCTTGAATAGTTGGAGTCCACCGAGATTAACTGGATGCTCATAGTTGTGTTCCGTTTTGGCTAAATGTGTGAGAGGATTGAAGAGAGCTAACAAGTCTTCAAGCTTTGGTGTCAATAACCGGTCTTTCGCAAGTAGTGTTCCATACTAGAGTTCAAGGTGGATCCCAAGCATTGTGAGACAGTGGCATTGGAATTTGCAACACAAAAAATTTTAGACCAAGTAGATTTTATGGGCTAGTGACCTATCCATGAGTCCAACCAGAAAAGAACCATGTCTCCTCTACTTACTTTAAACCTTATGGAAGCCAAAAACTACTACCAAGAGGCCTGAATGCTTTTGTAGATTCCAGACAAGTATTGCTTAGGTCTCTTTAATAGAAACCATCCAAGATGATCCGCCCAATATTCACGAAGAATCATCTGTCTCCAAAAAGTAAGGGGTGATTGGAAACATGCCACCACCGCTTAATAAGGTGATGTCAACACATCTCACATATGTTGATGTGGCCCACACGTCACCGATCACATATGTGTTGTTTTATAAATGGCATAAAAAGGTATCTTAACAAATGGGGTGCACATGGGATGGCTTCTATAAAGGGCATAGGGTTTGAGATTTTGATCTAAATCCTAGGGCTTCAAGGCAATAATATATCCACGTGCATGACACTTGACATGCTCTCCTTCATCACATCGAAATCCCATGTGCTGGAGAGAGAGAGAGAGAGAGAGAGAGAGAGAGAGAGAGAGAGAGAGAGAGAGAGAGAGAGAGAGAGAGAGAGAGAAGAGAGAGTAGTAGTACGTACGTAACGTAACGTAACGTAACGTAACGTAACGTAAAGTAACGTAAGTAACGTAACGTAAACGTAACGTAACGTTA